ACCAAATTTTTCCTCATCTATGTATTCTTCTTCGAAATCTTCAGGTTCTTCCTCATCTTGATATACATGATTAAGCTTTTTAATTCGCTTTATTCTAGAACAATTAACCTTTGTATAACTAGCCTTTTTACAGACTGAGTAAAGACAAACAATTCACTTAACTGGTGCTTTTTGTACTACTTTTCTAATAACTTTCTTTGTAGCATTTGTTTTTCTAACCTGAGGCTCTACGAAGGGACTCTTTCTAATATAAGCTATTTTGCCTCCCAGTCTTCTACCAAGTTCTTCATAAATAAATTTTCTAAAGTTTCATCATCTATTACTATCCCAGCATATGCTAAATCTTTTGCTAAACATGTTTTAAAATCATTTTTTTTCAGAATAGGTAGTGTCTTTATTATTTGCTAAATAAATGTGATTTCATAGAAACCTGCTTCACTTGAAGTTATAATAGGATTATGCTCTAGCCATAGATTCTTTAGTTCTATAAAATATGCATCTATATCAGCAGGATTAGCGATTTTCATCTATGTATAGAAGTCACCTGATAAGTGGTTTTTTAGAAATGATAGAGCTATTGCATCATTATTTGCTATACCCATTAATAATAGTCAAATTTTTTTTTCATATATGTCAGAACTATCTGTTGGTAAAAATCTTTCTTGAGATAATCTCTGAATTGCTGATTGTTGGATACTTATATTTTTACGTTAATATTTTATTTGCATTCATGCTCTTAATGTAGCTGAAGAATCTATAGCAGAGTTTTCAGCTGTATAGGGATCATTATTTAAAACTAGTAGATATTTTCCTTCTAACTTTGATTTTAAAAGACTAAATTTAATTACATCATTAAAGTCTCCAGCATTGACATTTTCAAGTGCTGTCATATTTGGCTCTAAATGCGAAATAGAATTCCAGATTTTATCTAAATAATCGTTGGAAGGTTCTTGCCCAGTATATTGATTATATTTTGCAAAAATAGTTGCTATTGTATTGTATAATGGTTGTCTTCTAGCTTTTGCCATATTTCCTAGAGGATTATTAATTTGTAAATTTAAAATAATTTGCCTTGAATTTATTTCTTTTTGCTTCCATTTTTCATATTGATCATATACTCGATCCTGATTATATTCTAATAATCCTATATTTGCTTGAGTTTATCTATAATACTTTTTTAGGTTTTGCGCCTGCTGTATACAAGCAGTATATCTTCTTTTCCACCAACATTTTTCATAAACATTTTCACATACTGTATCTCTAAGATTATTAATTTATTATCTTTTTATTGTCGGGCTTGTCTTTCATCTCTTTATGCTTGCTTCATCATCTGTACACTTTGAAGACAATCATTTCTAAAATTTGTCATATCATTCATAATTCTATTGATCTGCCTATGGGATGCATTAAACAAACCTTGTAAGTTTGCATTATCCTGAGCATACCTTTGATTATATTCTTGAATAGTTGTTATTGAGATCTGTATTCCATTCAGTGTATTTCTTGGGTCAAATAATATATCACTATTGATATATCCTTCAATCTGATTTAAAGCCATACTAATATTTCTTAAGATATCTAGTAGTGCCATATTTTCTTGATGTTCTTCTTCAGAAGGTTTATTACTCTTATTTATTTTTTTCTCGCTAGACTCAAAAAAAGGGCTATTGCAATCAGTTTCTTGTAATAAAAGACCAGCATAATATGGAAAATTTTAAGTTAATTGTTTCTCCTAATGATTTTGATCAAAGGAGTGCAATATCTTGAGAATTTGACTTTTGAGCTTTTTTACTATATCTTCTAGCAGAATGATTTTGTTATCTTAAGCAACTAATGCCTCCTCCTTTAGATCTAAATGATCCTGACATTTTTTGAGATTATATAAGGTAGAGCGGTATTCTGCTTTTAATCTATCTAACTCATTCTCTCATAAGATAAGATTTTTTCAAGATATTTAATATATAGTTCACATTGCTCTAGATCATTTATAAGCTTACGAATCTTTTCCTTATTTTTAATGATAATAGTTTCCTCTTTAGTTAACTTTATCTGCAATTCTAAATTACTGTCTAACAAATCGATATATGTTTCTTAGCTCCTATTGATTCCTATTATTCAGATAAAATCAGGTGAAGTTCGAAAACTTAATATTTCTATTACTTTGCAGAAGATTTATTATCAGCTTTCAGGCTATCAGAGGACTGCAAAAAAATTACACAAAGCCTCTCAAAAAGCTGGATATGATTTTTCTCTTGATGAGATATATGATTGGCTCAAAAGACAAATATTGCACTTATTACATAAATCCCATCCTAAATATATTCTACGAGTAAGTTTTAGCTCTATTATTACATCCAATGAGATGCATCAGGCAGATGTTCTCTATACACATCATGTTAAGTCTAAACAAACAATTTATCTTTTTTACCTTAATGTAAAGAAAGTAACTTCAAGATATGAAGCAATCATTCCTATTAGTGTGACCCTTAAGGAATCTGCTAAGAGCATTAAGGATATGTAAGGTATTTTAACTTCATTTACAATTGCTAAATGCTTGGAAAAATTTATGATGATCTTGAAAACCCTCTTATCTGGCCAAAAGTATTTTTATCAGATAAGAGGTCTAAATTTAAGGGTGAATGTAAAAAACTGCTAAAAAAGCATGACGTGAGGATTCAGAAGACTAAGTTTAAGAAAACTATGGGTATTATTGAAAGATCTAACAGAACGTTTCAAGAATGATTCTATAGTATTCTTGATGCATATAACTTATTGGATACCTCTTTTGATATAATAAAGTTAGAAGACCTACCATGTGTTGTTAATTCAATAGTAGAAGATCTTAATAACTCTATAATTTGTTTACTTAGTATGGTTCCTGCAGAGGCGATAAAAAAGAATAGTGTCTTTGTTAAGCCTTCTAAACCTCAAAAAGGGCCTGTAGGGTATGACAAAAAAAAATTATCTTATGATAATTCTGTTATATATCTGCTTAATTCTAGTAAATATGAAGGAGAAAGAAGACGCGCAACTGATATAAATTGGTCTTCTAAGATTTATCAGATCTGCGAATCTTTAATACAAAAAAATCAGCCTGTTTTATACTGGCTAATAGATGATGATAGCAATGGCCCAGAAAGGTCTTTTGTGAGAGAGGAGCTTCAAATTGTTCCTCCTGATATGAAGTATCCATCACAATGGATACTTGCGAATTAGATTTTATTCAACATTATCTGCAATCAGCTCTTCTATTATTCTGCTAATTTCTTTCTCAGTTATAGGTTGCTCTTCTTTAGATATTGTATAGAATAGACTATACAGATTTTTGATACTAGCAAAAAGAACTTTCTTACTTTAATACTATTTTCGATATCTATCTATCTTTCTATTATATGCATCTTCATTCAAAAAGAGTATTATAGCAGTTAACTTTATATATTCTTCTGGGTTATCTGATTGTTGCAAATTTTTTACATAGCCAATATATTCACTAACTAACTTGCTATTTTTTTTGTAGTGAAGGCGTAATGCCTCTCTTATTTTCTAGAGCTAAGCCTTCTCAATTCTTTTCCATAAAATATAACTCGCTAGGATTTTATTCGTTGGTATTTTATTTGTCATTGTATGTTAACACTAAGTCTTTTCTGTATAATAAAATGATTAGTTTAAATTGCAAATAAAAAATTTAGAAAAAAAATATTAAAATATTAGATAAAATAGCTGACTGCTCATCTTTTATAAAGCTAAATCCGTTAATATTTCTTGAGGTATATTATTCCCATATTACTCCAATGCAGTTAGATATGTTAGGATTTAACAATCCTTAATTGCCTATATTATAATCCGGTCATTTAATATCTATCTCTTGGAATCAAGTGGGTTGATACTCCTTTTTGTCTGTCAGATTATATATAGAACGAAATGTTCACATCACAAGAAGTTTGCAATTTCTGGCTCATCCTCTATTTCTTCTAGAATACATCGCTCATAAATATCAATAGATAGCTCTTTTTTGATGAAAGATTTTTTGAGACCCTTTACCTTTTGTACATTCTTGTGATCATCTTCAGTTTTCAATACATAAGACTTTGATCAGTTTCTAGCATATCTTAATGCCCGGGTTCCTGCGAATTCATCTTTTCACTTTTTGACCACTTTCTTATTTTTTAGTTCACATAAACCATCTGGATAAATTATCCATTAGTCAGGTGAAAGTTTTTCAAGTAATAGATGATCTTCAGAATAATCACTAAAGTCATAGAGATCTGCATCTTTAATTATATCTGCATAGATATTTTCAGTCTCTATTTCGATAATAAGTGAATCTGTATCAATATAATGTAATTTTGCTCAATCTCCATATTTACGCTTGATATAGTTATACTAAAAATCATACATATAATACTTACTAAGATCTAAAATTATTGTTCTAACATAGATTGGCTTATTTAGTATAACATTCATCTGCTTTTGATGTATTGCTATAAGATTGCTTTCATGAAATATCTTACGACTAACAAGTGTCAGATCTGCCAACATTTTGCAAAGTCAATATTCCTTACCTATTGGTCGTACTAAATCTACCTGTGTATAATGTCAGATATCCTTTATAGTTTTTCTGAATACTGCATTGTTTATTAATTTTCATAGATCTTTTTCGAAGGCATTTTTAGCATCATGATGTCATATAGTATTTGCTATAATATATGGTTCAAGTCAGGAAGACTGATCAAATTCTAGTACTTGATAAACATGCTCAAGTTCTATTCTTAGCTCGAGACATTATTAGAGATTTCAGTAATGAATAATATAGCGGTCTTTAGTCTCTAATGTTGCCACTAATTTTCTGTTTTCGCAAATTTACCACCATTCAGTTTATCAATTAGATCTTTATTTTGGTGTGGGTCAAGCTCTGTATGTTTTACTATTCGACGTTCTGGATAGAACAGATAATCACCATATAATAGATGAAGTTTATCTAGATATTTTAATTTTACTTTTCAAGCATTATCCTGTTTAGCTGTTAGCGATAAAATTTGTATATCAGACAAATTATTTATATCAACTATCTGAATCCTCCTGTTGGCAAATATCTGACATAACCCATCCATATAAATTGTTGGCATCTAAATATAGAAACCATTTGTTGACTTTTCATTTATTATAGTCTTTCATTCTGGGGAAATTTGCTCTTGCTATATAATGTGGTACCATAGAATTTTCACCTCTTAACCAGCGTTGAATAAATTCATGCATATCCTCTTGTTCTTTATAAAATAAATCAAGTTTGACTTTGGTTAACTTTAATGCCATGTCAAATGCGAATGATGATAATATTATATAGTTCAATGAGTCTAATCTGAATACTTCCTTCATTGTTACTCAGAATCGCTAGATTGAGTTTACTAATATTAAAATATTAGTCTTTAGATATAATATGTGATAATCCTCGAATGTCTCACACTTTATTTCCTCCCATACTGTCTATGCATAATCATATTGCTTTTGATTAATAGTGTAAATTTTTTTGTACTCATAATCATCGATTTCTTTTAAATCATCTTCTTTATATTTTTCATGTTCGCAATCCTCTTCTTTATATTTACATTTTCTATTACACTTTTTACCCTTTATTTCGTGTTTACACTTTTTATATCCTTGGTTGCAATAATTTAGTCCGCCTAGTACTGTGTTAAATTCTTTTCTTGACAGAAGCTTTGTTCTAGAGAAACGCTCTGGATCATTTAATTTGTATGGATACTCACTTTTTTGTTTAAGTAACAGGAGTAAATGCAAAGGTATACTCTACGCTATAATTGGAAAATATTTAGCCAATTACTTTAGCGTCTTTTCTTGACCACTCAAATTATTTGCTACTTTTTCTAATGATGGGAACTGAAATTGACAGGAGTCTATAAATTTGATCTAATCAATTATTATCGTCTTATAATTTTCTATATTATCTGCAATTATTTTGATTTTGTTTTCACTAACTAGGTCCAATTCCTATACTTTATGATGAAAGTCATAATGTTTTCCACCATGATAAATTAATGGAATCTTAATTTTGTCTGACTTTATTCAGAGTTTTAGATTACAGCTACGATATGCATTACTATGAAATCGCCTAGTAAAATGATCATGGTCTCTAACCTTATTTTTGAAATCTTCTTGTAGCTTTCTTTTGCAAAAGTAACATTCAATCACTTTTTCAAAATAACTCAGCTTTTCTATACTCAAGCCTTCTGTACGATATATAGCTTTTGCTAGTTTTTCTTTTGTAACCTCACATTTGATTTTTAACACAGCCATAATGTAATGCACCTAAGAACTTTCAGAAAGTATCAAAATATTTTACTTTATTATATCAGATTTCTTGTAGCCTTTCTTCACATATGTAACATCTTATGGCAGAGTTATGTGAATGCCAATCACACTCTGTTATTTTTATTTTTTCAAGAATTCATAACTTTGGCTTGATAATTTCTTCTAAATCCTATTGCATGCTCTCTCATAATTCTGCAATCAAATTCAGGTTTCACTTGACAACTTTTTTCGCAAGCTTTCCATCCGTTTAGATCAAAGAATAATCGTAACTATTAGGTTTCTGCTTCTGTAGTTTAACGGTCTTTTTATTGATAATATTATTTTCTATCAGATCACTATCTACTTTGAGATCTTTAACGAAATAAAACAAAACATTTTCCATAGCTTCATAATTTTTGAACTTCATGATATGCATCCCTTTTCAGAAAAGATTTCTCTTTGACTAGCATTAGGATTATTTCGTCTATGACAATTGTGCTTTATGTATTTTTTTGAGTAGGTCCATTCTTGAAAATGAAGCTATCAGGCAGTGGCAATAGAAATATTTACACCCATGATATTTATTTCAACTGCGTATAATCTGATTTCAGCCATTTTCACTGTTGATAAGGCAATAATATGTATTGAGACCTAGAGGAATTTTATTAATATTTCAGCAATCTCTAAGATCTTCCTCTCCTTCAGTAAATAATATTAAATCTACCATATATCCTCTTTAGTAATTATATTCTGATATGCAAAGTGGGTCTATCATTCTAGTTTTTTGCTCTTTATTATTTTTGCTGAAGTTAAATAGAACATATTTACTGTATAATCTGGATTATTTTCTTTGAATGTGTCTATATCTTGCAACGTGGCTGAAAAATCTATATTGGTGAAATCTAATACATTATCAAAGCACCTTAATCTACTAACATTATGAAGATTTCTTGTTCTAGTTCCCTGTCTACAGGTCTCTTTACTTGCTAGATAAGCCTTTAAACAGACTTCAAAATATCTTTCATCTTTATTTTGTGGGTTAATTATCCCTAGCTAAAGTTTGACCCATATTTTTGGTAAAGTAAAATGTGATCTACCTCAGAGTGATTAATAAGCGCTTATTTCGAGAAAGATTTTTTTTCTATATTCATATATTTAGCCTGAATGTTGATTTTGCTTCATTTCATCAATTTTATCTAAGATTTTATGATATTGTCATAAGATTGTTTAATCAATTCTATCTTAGTAAATAATATTTAAGATTTCACTTAGAAATGCTATGTCTTGATCTATTCAGTATCTAAACTATTCTTCTTGTACAATCTGATATATATGAGCGATAAGAACTATTTTTATTTTAGTGCCTTCTAAACACACTAATTCACTTTTATAAATGTCACTAATTTAGTTTTTAATATCCTTAAATGTAGCTAATGGATCTTCTCGATAGGGTAATTTTCTAGAATATTAGCAAGATGATTAACACATAAACCTTGATCAGAAATTCTTCTAGTTTTACTAACCTTTTCAGAGCTGGATCTTTTATTCTTCAAAATATTATTTTTTTTTTTTCTGGTTCAGACTCATTATCAGATTCAGATTCAGAATCTGATGTATCTCTCTTATCAACAGTCTCATATTCGCTCTCCTTATCTGACTCTACCTCTAGCTTTTCTTCTAGTTCGAGAGGTTCAGCTGTCTCAGGTGGTACTGATACCAGATCTTTCCAGCTTGGCAAAAAGTTTCTGAACGTTTATCTTAATACGTCAGTGATACTACTAAGTAATCCGTTCATATTTTCCTAAAGATTATATATGATTACAAAAAGTTTAAAATAAAAATTAATTTATTCAGATAATTAGAGTTACATATTTATTCAAAAAGAAGAAACTATTAGAATGGGATTTTATAATTATCTATATATTTTTAGGACTGAAGAAGTATGCAATGAGGAATACTATCAGGCAGAAGGTTGTAACGTCCATTGGAAATCTCCTAGACGAATTCTGTGTATAGAATACAGAAAATTAACTTCCTCTATTTATAGTGCTTGTAGGAAACATGTAGATAAATATCACATTCGAGATTTTTATCAGTGTCAAAAGCTTGCAAAAATTCAGGCTAGTGATAGGCTAGTGCTAAGAAAGTTCTGGAAATGTTCTCAGAACCCAATATGTATGCATTTTTATCATATATTTTTTCAAGTTTTGCGTATATGCTTTGCACCTTCAGTGCTCTGCAACTCTGTAAACATTATTTGTTCACTGTTTTGTCTTATATAATAGTATACATTAAAGGGTAATGTATAGGTCAAAAAAATATAGCATTCACATTCGCTTCACCATAATGGGCTTGCTTATGTTCCTGCTATATTTTTTCTCCTAGCAAGTTACTACCATTATGGTATACTATTGGAAAGCTATGAGAGGATATATAAGATTACTATACTTGTCTTATATAATAGCATAAATTAAAAGGGTAGCATATGGGTTGAAAAATATAGCATTCATATTCACTTCGTCTTAAAGGGCTTTGCTCATATTCCTGCTATATTTTTTCTCCTAGAGGCATTTATATTCACCTTAGACTCATGCTTCTGCCTTCTTTCAGCTACCATTAATATTATATGTAAATTGGGAGGCAACTTATAATCCAGAATTTAAGAACTATAAGCAAAATTTTTTGTTATCCAAATTGAAAACCAAATAGGTTTTGAGCTTGTTTGTACCAAAGTGAAAATTTATTTTTCCATATAGGAAATAAATGTTTACAGAGTAAATAACAATCAAGGAGACAAATTTATTTCCTTAAGGTTAAAAGTTTAAATACAATGAGATTACACTATATGTAATTTTTTTCGATACCTATGGTGACCTTCTGAAGACAATCAAGACTTTTGTGCTAAAAAGCCTAATATATAACTACTGTTAGTATAATGTATTACAACAAATCTAAATGAGAAATAATATTGAAAGAAAAAGTAATTTATATAAATTTTAATTGATTTTTTTTATTGATAACTTAAAATTCACAAAAGAGTTAATTTACAACTTAAGCAAAAAGTTATTCTATTTATACAAAATTAATTTGCTATAGCTAATTATTTGCTATGCTATAAACTAATTATTTTAGTAAATTTTAATTTAAAATAATAATAAAATAAAATAAAATAAAGATATAAAATAATAGATAAATAATATAAAGTAAGAAAATAAATAAATAAAATAAAAATGATTATAATTAAAAAATTATTTATTATTGTGAATATAAATAGTATCAAAAGAATCAGGTGGATTTAATTGATCAGATAAATAGTATAAATCCTTAGCATTTTCCTGATCTACTTGATGCAATAATTATTGATCAGTGCTGCACATTATTATTTGATATTTTTTATGTAATATTTTCTGTATTTGTGATGATGTCTATTTCTAACGTTAATAACATAAAACTTAAGATCTAAATAAATACAGAGAGTCTATATCCTTACTATAGAACTTAATATCAATTAATTATAGAATTCTATCTATATAAATTATATTAGAAAATATTTATTGACATCTAACACATAATAAAAATAGGTGTATTCAGGTTATTTAGTTATAGCTATATTTAGATTATTTAATCATATGATTACAAATAATAAATAATAAAAAGGTAAAAAGATAAAGAAAAGTAATTTCAAAGATAAGAAATATAGAAAAACAAAAGAATATGAAAAATAATCATATTTAAATTATTTAATTAGATTATTTAATTACATTAAGGTTATTATTAACTTTAGATTATTTAGTTATATTTAAATTATTTAATTATATCTAGATTATTTTATTACTAAATAAGCTAATCTAAGCTAATTATAATTAAATAATATAATTATATTATTTAATCATAATCAGCTCATCCTAACAAAATGATCTGACATTAAAAATGCATACATTATGCTGATAGCAAATCTGTAAACAAAAGTTAGATTAATTAATGTATTTGAAGAAGATTAAGACTAT